CCTGCCTGCCAGCCCCACCTGCGAGCTGCAGCCCTCTCACTCACCTGCAGGTTTGTCAGTAAAGGACAGACCTTTTAGACTGTGAGGCTGATGTGGCCCCCAGTGAAAATGAGTTAGATACCCCTGACCTAGCTACGTCATCTGCTAAAAACTTTAAATTCATAATACATATCTGGAAATGCTACCCAGATCAAACCCACAATGAGAGGTCACCTCAGACCTGTTAAAATGTCTATTATCTAGAAGACAAGAGATAACGGATTCTGGCAAGGATGTGAGGAAAAGGAACGCTTGCACACTTTTGGTGTGTGCAAAAGGGGTGGGAATGGTAATGTACAACCATGACGGAAAACAGTCTGAGAGTTCCTCGAGAAATGAAAAATAGCGCCACCACAGGATCCCACAATCCCACGTGTGGGCATAAATCCCAAGGAAACAAAACCGTTCCTTGAAGAAAGTGTATCTTCACCTCTGTGTTCGATGCAGCATTATTCACAATTGTCAAGGTATGGGGACAACCCATGTCCCTCAGGGGACAAATGGATCCAGAAAACGTGGTCCACATACACAATGGAATATTGCTCAGCCTTAAACGACCAGAAAATCTTGTCTTTTGTGATAACGAGAATTAAACTGGAAGGCATTATCCTAAGTGAAGGAAACCAGATGGAGAAAGACACACATGGCGCGGTGTCACTTGCATGTGGAATCTTTTTAAAATAGAGTTGAACTCAGACACAGAGTAGAAAAGTGGTCGCCAGGGGCTGGGACGGGGGAAGGGCCCAGGGAGAGGTCGGCGGAAGGATACAAACTCTCAGTTCTAGAAGGTGTAAGGGGGACTAATGCATGTCACAGTGCCTATGGCTGACAACACGGCAGTGCACAACAGAAATCTGCTGAGACCGTAGGACTTCAATGTACTCACACAAACAAAACACAACAAAATGAAACAAAGTGAATAAACATGTAAGCTGATGGATGTAAGCTGATGGAATATGTAAGTTCATTAACTCGATGGGGAGATATCCTTTTGCAATGCAGTATACATAGATCAAATCAGTATGCTGGACACTCTAAATATCCCCCACTTTTATTTATCAATTATACTTCAATAAAGCTGAAAAAAAGTTACTGGATATCTTAAATTATTCCAGAGGTTTGAAAAACAATTGACTTATCATATCAATCATAACTTCTTTCTGCAATTATGTAAATTACTTCAGGATTCACATGGGATACTTGAAATTAGAAGCCAAATTAAACTTATAAAATATTTATATTAGTGATTAACATTTCAGTCCACCAAAAAGTCTAAGATTTATTCATGAAATTTTGAATGAAAAGGGAAAAAAGCCAAGTTGATGAATTAGGGTTAAAATTCCTGTTTGGCCTTTTTGCTGTACTGGATTTTGGAAAAACCTTATTGTGTGACATATATTTCAACCACAGAGAGCACAGGTCCCTAAACAAGTATCGTAAGCCGCCCAAAGAAAGTGGTGATGCCACTTGGGGATCGTTTCCGAAGTTCTCAGAACTCTATTTTTCTCCCAATTTTGATCATCAAGAAAAACAAATGCCCATTTCCCCAAAGCGCAAACTTTTTTAGAACTACAAAACCTACTGCTGTCTACATCTCTGGTAGCAGTGAGAAAGTGATTACAGTAATACAAGTTCCATTCAAAGGATTGTTGTTTTGTTTTTTAATGAAAACTCCCAGTAGTTTCCACTGGAAGTTCTGTTGAAAATGGTAAATATGTTATGATACGTCTTTACCCTTACAAACCACCTTCGTTGCCCCTGGGCCAACTCAGCCCCAAACTGTAGCTTGGTTAGAGAGGTGAAAGACAGCTTTACATGTTACGTATTTGTCCCTTAACACAAACTAACAGGATGTGATTTTTTTGAAGTCCTACATGAGTCTTCAAAACACTGTCTCTCTCAATATACTCAAATCTACATGTGAAATTTCCAAAACAAATGGGTTTTTCAACCATCAAGCATTTAACCATTCAAAATCAAAGATTTTCATGAGCACTTCTCAAAACTGAATCCATTAAGCAATTATACATCCACATCACTGATAAAAGGAGACTGAATTTCTGCACTAATATTCTGATTATGCACTTATTATTCTGATTTTTATTAATTCTAATTTTTATAAAGTATAATTTCTTTCATCCCTGGGGCTAAACTTATTTACAGAATAAACCATACAGTAGCATCAACATATGCTAAAATGTTGTGTCAAAATGGGCACCACTGCTCCAATTTTAAATTTTACAACTATTTTTAGCTTTTGATTTTAAATTTCAATTTCAAAAAAATCTTGTTCCATAATAGTATTAGATTACTTTTTCATATTTGTCAGTAAAAAAATATCAACAAAAAAAATTAGCTACCTAGCCCTGACTGGTGTGGCTCATTGGGTCAGGCATTGTACCGCAAACCAAAGTCACCAGTTCAATCCCTGGTCAAGGCACATGCCCGGGTTGCAGGCCAGGTCCCCGGATGAGGGCATGGGAGAAACAAGCGATCGGTGTTATCTCTCACACATCTATGTTTCTCTTCCTTTCTTTCTCCCTCCCCTCCCCTCTCTCTAAAAATAAAGAAATAAAATCTTTTAAAAAAGAAATTAGCTAACTATATCTCTGAAATACAATTGGGACATATTTCACAAGAGGCTAATGTTTTAAGTTTCACATGAACACTCTATCTCTATCAAAGCATTTGGAGATCAAGAAATCTGCTGTTAGGAAGGTGACCTAACTGCCTTTAGTCAGTTTAGTATTTATAACAAACTGACATCAATAAAAAGATTTCCTGAAGAGCTTAACCTAGGACAACAGAGTCCACACTACCCTCACCTGTTAACCTGGTGCGTGAAATCAGCAGCTCAGTAAATGCTGGGTGGGTGTCTGCGACCCAGGCCCCAGAATACAGAAAAGGCCTGCCGCACTACTAGGAATTCCAAGAAAGAATTACTTGGGGAGGTTAATGCCATTTCCTATCTAGTTTCAAACAGGCAGGAGTTCACGAGCAGAAGCGATTAATACTGATCCTGTTAGATGGCAAATTAGCCTGCTAAGTAAAATGGTAGCAATTTTGTCACTCAGAGAAAAGTAAGGGTGATTTTTCGTAGATGTCTCTCCAAGATCAGTGACTCACAACCCACTGGCAGACCACACACTGGCAAATGGAAGCACAAAAGGGGAAAAGAGGCACATCTTAAGGCCTCCTTGGCCTTGAAGCCAGGGAGAAATAAAGATGAAACTTAATTTTACAAAATTCCCAACTAGTGAGCTTCTCGAGGCGAGGTCTAGGGAGTGGGCCCCGTCCAAGACCCACTGTTACTGTTCACAGGAGGCACAGACAGACCGAATAAAAAAAGACTTATATTTTCTATTATCTCCCTTCTTTTTCACTTTACTTTTCTAGTAACTGGTTCTTCCTCTATTTTATAAGTATTGACCCAGAATGAATTGAAAATTTTTTTTAAAAATGCCCTTTCCCATGGAAAGTTTGAGAAGCACCGCACTGAAGCCCAGAAAATAAAGTTTCCTGCGGACAGTGTGCACATCATAATTGCGAGGGTACTGATTAACCTGAAATCGTTCTTCAAGCACTTGAACAGTAAGATTTTTCAGAAGCAGGTAATTGTGCCCATGTGTACCCTACACTAAGCTCCTCTGATTAACATCTGAATTAATCTAGAGATATCCAAATTGTGGGTTAATGAGATACCACATCATCAAAAACTGTTCCAAGGAACCGAGGTATTAATGAACATGATTCCCTAGGAAAAGGAAAATTCTGTGGTCAAACAAGTGTAGGATATTTCCTCCGTCTCGGCCCCTTCCTGGGGAGCCCTAAGACACCTCAGCACATGCAGGATTTTGAGAAGGCCTATGATTAAGAAAAGCGTCTAAGTACAGACGTGACTTTATCTAAACACGCATCTTGTTCAGAAAACACAGTTTTGGAAACACGGGTATAGTCAAAAGCCTCCGTCAGCAGCCAGAAACACCCCGAGGATTACTCACGAGCTGTTTGCTGTCTTCATTTTGCACACGGACCATGCTACCCAGCCCCCAAGACCAATGAGATAATGATATAAAATGACTTCATACAGCTCCTTGAGGGCAAGAAATTGGCTCTCATCCTGCAGCCCAACACATATAAAGTGCTCAGCAGTTATTAAGTTATTATCTAGGGAATGTTCCAGGTTGTCTCAGCAGCCCCCAAACCCAAAATGGCTCATTTAGTGGCCACTCCCTCGGTAACCCATGTCTTTGGAGGCCTCCCATCCTCTGGTCCCCTGGCTGGTGTGGTGTGACAGGTACTTGGAAATGTAGAAGGGCCCAGAGGAGAGCCAGGAGGAAGCCCAGCACTTGGAAAAACCACCCAACTGGTGGTCACACTCCCGTGGCCTCAGCCTCTGGGCAGAGATGGGGCAAGACTCAGGGATGCAGGTTCCCATGTGCACACCCCACTCCCACCCAGAACTACCCGACTCCCCTCTCCCGGAGTGCCCACGTGGTTGGTACTCAGGGGAGACCCACTGTGCTGGGTCAATATTGCGTCACCTTAGTGGGAGAACAATCTCAACACAAAAAATATCACAACCCCAAAACAGAAAGCACCGTAACAAGAAATCATGTCAGTCCGGCTCCTATTCACCCTCTGGCTCCCCATTTCAACAATCAACAACAACAAAATTTTATTTTTAACTTCTATGGTTCCTCTGTTTACTTCAAAGGCAGCACCCACAATTTGAGCAACGTCTACTGGGTCCCGTGGTCAGTGAAATGTAGGGCAAGGAATTGGTCTCCGTACACATTCTCGCAACCACCAAACCACAAGATCTTTGTTAAGGTCAAAATTATCATGAAACATTATTTACACAGTATATAATGAGCTGAGTTCTGCAGCTGTTACAAACACAAGCCCTAACTTGAAATAATAAAAATGAAGAAAGATAAGGAATCTTTGGTTTTACTCACTGTTCACGTAAACATTAAATGTCACGGAGGAATCGACGTCAGAATTGGACACTAGAAATGTGTACGTGCCTCCTTCGGTCCCTTTTAATCTGGTTAAATGAAGTTCACTTATATATCTACAAAAGAAGAGACAACAAATCAATCACCTGTGGGCTGCCTGCCTTGAGTACAGGTCCTTTGCACAGTTTCTATTTGGAAACATATGCCTGTCTAGGGAAAATACAGCTCCCTTAATTCAGTATTAAACAAGGTCCACAGAAACAAATACAAACACACACACATATTTAATTTGGGGCAAGTGCCTGCTGTGTGAGGAGGCGGAGTGATGAAAAAACTTTCTCAGCATCAAGGAAACCTCACGGAGACTCCAGCCTCTCCTGCCTCCTGAGCTGTCCTCAAGGCCACCTTCTCACCAGTGTCCTGAACCTGCCTGCTCTGCTTCGCTTTGACAACACTGGCCTGGAAAAACCCCAGACTGGCAGGCTGTCTCCATGCAGACACTGCAAAGCACCCGTGGCAAGGTCAATGCTGTTGCCCTCACCTTTCTTCTTGCAACACCACAGTCTCCTGGCACCCCTCCTACCCCGCCACTTCTTCTGAGTGTTCTTTGCACTATATTTGCTATTCAAGCTTCTGTTTCACTGCAGGACTGGCAGATATGGCTGTGTGGACTGAGCACGCATGGAGTTACTGACATGGGCTCCAGTACGGATGGGGTGCCCTGGGCAGCCCTGGACCCGCACGAGCTACGCAACCGACTGGACACATGCAGAGTTCAGACTCTTCCCATACTGCGCATGCTCCCTGGGCAACTGCTCTCGCACTGAACTATTTGCCATTTGCTCCCTTTCAAACCTTTACCTCCCATCCAGACTTCTCTGGCCCAAGGCATCCTCTACTGAGCTATTTTATGCCACCATCTCCCCTGCCTGGGTGCAGCTAATAAAGACCCACATATGCACCTTCTCTCAGGACTTGCCCTCGAGCCCTTAGATGCACTAGAAAGTTGACTGCACCCCAGGTCTATAGCCAGTTAAGAGACTGACTATAGGGAGGGACACAAGCCCAGCTCCAGAGCACCCTGGGGTCAGACCACGCCCCAGCTTCACCTCAGCCACAGCCCTTCTTTCATCCTTTCCCCCAAACTGCCTGGCAAATCTCTTGCTCCCTCAATGAAACCCTTGCCTGAGAACCCCCGACTCAGGCTAGGGAACCTGATCTAGGACACTTCCTGCCTGTGCATCTCCTCTCAAGGTCAACCTCAAATTCAACAAACCCCAGGCCCTTAGCCCCTCCTATCCTGGAATGGGATGCCTTTCACCATCCCACCTGGTTGATGACCCAAACTCCTCCCCCTCTCTCACATGCCCTCAGTCCCCTAGTCTTGTTAAGGAGGTATAGCTTAGGCACCTCCCAAATCCAACCCCTTCCTGCCAACCCTCCCTTAGGCCTTGGCCCAGGACAGCATCATCTCTCACCCAACTTCTTACAACAGCCTGCAGCTCCTGACTGGATAAATACCCAAACTCTAAGCGAGGGAAATAAGAGTGCCTCCTCACAGGGCTTGTGAGGACTAGACTTATTGAGTGAATATATGAAAGGTACTTTGAATGGCACAGGTAAAAAAAAATGCACGCAGTTTACGTACGTGAAGCATTACTACTGCTGTTCTTTTTGTTATAAATGTTTTGAGGATCAAATGAGGGCTCTGCTGTAAAAGAGCTCAGGTTCACTGCCTGGCCCGCAGCTACTCCATGATTCTTAGTTTCTTATAGTTAAAAAAAAAATGATGAAAGGCACTAACTTCCCTCTTTCCCTGAAGCAAATTATTTAATGTGTCCCTAGTACACGTAAGTACCCTAGAAACTGTGGGAGAGAACTAGCCTCTGTTTTACACATGAGAATACCCGGGCACACACTCTTTTGTGCACTTTAAACATACAGCAAAATGTAACGCTGGGATGAAGACTTGAGGAAGTAGCCCCAAACTTCCTTCTTTGCCAGGGGTCCTCTAATTTATGGGTCATGGAGATAGGATCTGGTAAGCTAAGCAGAAGAGGGGCAAAATCCCCTTCCCCAAAGCACGGCCCTCTTCTCACCTGATATTACTTTCATTCTCAGACTTGGGATAATTTTCCCACTTGTCGGCGAAGGTTTTGTTCATATACATCCACTGTTGGCGTTCGGGTTTCGGGTATGCCTCATATTCAACAGTCAGATCTACATTTTCTCCATCATTTACAAATACTGTCGTATTTGCCATTGAGATGATATTAATAAATCCTTTATCTAATCAGAACAGAATAAAAGAGAAAGAAACCGTTATCCACAACTACCCAGCAAAAAGCACAACTTCATCTTCAGATTTCAAAGATATTGACTGGTTTCCAGCACGAACTGGCAGTAACAAGTCGGAGGGTTAAACTGGCCACTTGACATTTGTGTTGCTCCTGTGTAGTCACGGTCCCGCGTGAAAGGACGCACACTGGAAATGTTCACTCACCCTTCTCTCTCTCCAGCAACTCTCTCACTTAAAGACCCCCATCCACCTTATCAATCTGCTATAACTACCAGTCTTGACACTTATTAGGTGGAAAAGTATTTATAGGACTAAATAGCCCATATCCAGACTCAATATAAGTGTTTATTTGATAAGAAAATAACATAAATCAAGAAGGGACAAAGAGTCTCAATGTTCAATAAAAGTGTTGCACTTGGAAAAAAACTGAACTAAGGGTCGTCTCATCATATAATATATTGCAGATGAATCAAGGACAGCATTTTAATAATCAGACCATGCTTTTAACTAAACAATAGAACACTTATTAAACTTCGATGGGGTGGGGGTGGAGGGGCGGGTTTCTAACTTTTTTTTAGAAGCATCATAAGACAAAATCATAAAAGACAAATCCAAATACATAAACATTTGTAAATGTCTATATAGTAAAATTAATTAAGGTAACAGGAGAAAGGACATAAAATATAGAAGAAAAAAACATTTAGTTAAATTAGTAATTAAGGGATCACTTTCACTTATTAAAAATAGCGAAACCTCAATAAAGCTATTTCAAAAATGAAGTATACCCATCCTATTGATAACGATAGCAAAACTAATTTGAAACAAACTTAATTTTCCGAGTACGATAAAAGTGGCCGACTGCGTGACACACTGCAGGCTGACACAACTCTTAGGGAGCATTTGGCAGCACAGATTTTTAAAGATCATTCTCCGATTTAACCCTGTAATTGACGTCTGAGCACTCAGTGAGTTGGAAAGCTACGTTACAAAAGAAGTGCTATTTACATAAGTGAGAATAATTTAAAAAATGAGAAACTGGTTAAATAAAGTAGCCCTTAGGTATAATTATACATTATTAATATTAAAAGAACTTGATAAAGAGCACAATAAAATAATTGCCAATATTATTTTTATAGCTACCATTTACGGAATACTTATTAATGTGCCAAGAACTGCCCTAAGTACTTTAGCATACATTTTATTTAATAATTATAAGACATATGTAATCTTATAATAGTGAAAGAGAAAGCTTATAACCCCTAAATTACAGATGAAAAAATCAATTCCTAAAGTGGGAGAGCTTAGATTTTAATACAGGTCTGTGAAAAGCTAACTCTGACCTCTTCTTACCACAGTATTTCTTAAGAGTCTCTACTTTTATGTAGAGACAGAGGAAATGAGTTATATGTATAAATAAAACCCTGTTGCATATAAATATACAAATATACCAAATCCTAAAAATGGTTGTACCAGTCAATGGAGTTATAAGACTTTTCTTTTTTTTCAAATTTTAAAAATGAATTATGAAATGTAAAATTATTATTACTTTTGGTGCTGTTCGGTTAAATATATTGAAGTCCAAAATGACATTGTCAAAATAGTATTTACTGCCCTTTAGTTTCTTATATACTCAGTATAAAAAATGGAGTCCAACTGTCCGAGGTACTAACTGAAAAAGGATTTTTCAGATGAGGATGGAAAATCATTGAAATGAAAACTGGCTATGGAAACCACCACCTTATTCTAATTTCTGAACTGTAAATGATACCCCCTGCCGCTCTTTAAGCTAAACTAGGTTAATTTTTTAAAAAATGTTTCCTCTGAACGATACACTAATTTTTCAGGTTTTCAAGGTTATAAATCCAAATCACACGATGCAAAATACTCAAATTATTACCGACAACAATAGTGCATGGAACTATTTCTCTATCACCATGTAAAAAATGCTTCTCTTAAATTCCCCAAGTTTTCTATAGTCCGGTTTGCTCAATATAGGTTTATGTCCTATCATGGAATAGAGTGTCAAATTCATGAAGTGTAAGAATTATTAGAATCAAAGAATCCACCTGTGTTGGTATAACATAAAGTATGATTTTTTTCCAAGTATTTCTGCATTAAGTAATTAAGAAGTTCTTTGATAATGCATTAATATTTAATTAGGTACAAACACTGTGCCAAGTACTTCTATAAATGTATTCCCTTTTCTCCTGCACACAGCTTTGGGACTTTGTGGCTTTGTTTCTCAGAAAAGAAAATGCAGGCAGAGAAAAAGCAGGGTCCATTCAAAAGCTAAGTGGCAGAGCCCCAACTCAAAACCAAGACAGGGCATCCCAGACCCCTGGACTCTCCACTACTCCACGTTGTAGCCAAACCCTACTCTATATTCCCAGCCGCTAGAGAAATTACTTTTTCTCTGTCTCGTCCTGTTCTTGTCCCATCTCAACCTACTCCTGAAACAATACAAAACCAGATTCAGGTTTCTCAGCCACAAGTGTTTCCAGTTACACAGTTATATTCTTGGAAATTGATGAATGGATTTAAAAAATCTGATTACATACAACAATATGCTCCAAACATCCTTACTAATTGCTTTCTGGAGCTGAAGCTGATATATCAGCATACTCCCTAATCAACTTAGCAAATTAGCACTTACTGGGTTTAATATTTTAAAAGCATAGCCTTCTATTTAAATTAATAAATGGTCCACAATTACATTTGGGGACAGAGTAGTACTCTTTCTCTGCACTGACTCTATAATTGCAACCAAAGTGTCTTCTCCACGTTCAGTCTGGTGAAACCCCTTCGATCATGTCACGGTCAGACATACCAAAATTATGTGAGATTATTGTGGGATAAATCACAGACCTCTGACATTGCTACATAAATTATTGAAGAAACGTGGAAGGAAAACAGGGAAATGAAAACAAATATGGCAGGATTTTCTTATTGCTCATGATGAAGAATTTCTCCACCCTACAGGTACTTCATCACAGTCAAGCACGAAGAACAGGGTTGCAGGAAAGAGACAAGAAAACAGATTAAGTTCAAACAATACTGAAAAGACAAAAAATGTGTAAATGAAGTCATTTTGAAATCGTTATTATTTTCTGTACATCAAAATCATCAACTGCTTCAGCACATTCTGCTCTCTTTAAGTAGATGATTGGAAAATAGAAATTCATTGAGATTTCTAGAGTAGGGAAGAAAAGGTTAAACCATACGATGGGGTTACGGGGCACAAGTTATCATGTTCCAGTTCATGCTCTGTAGAATCAGTGACCCATGTGCCTGTGCCCTTTTTCCTGAGGGTTCCTGCTACCACCTGGAAGGATGGAGGGCAGGGTGAGGCAGGATGGGGTGGGGAGGGGTGGGGAGGGAAGCCCTGCTGACTCTCCCCTGCTACAAATGAGCTAGAGCCATGAGTGGAAAATGGTAAGCCAAAAGGCTGAGGAGCCCCACCAAAAGATTCAGAGAAATTCTTCAGGCCCTAAGCATCTGCACCCCTCCAGAGAAATTCCACCCCCATTTCCAAACTCAAGTCACTCAGCAACGACTAGAATTTTTGAAAAAGCTCAGCTTTGCTTTAGTTGTTTGGTGGGGGTGGGGAGGGTGAGTAGCTCAGAGAATGAAAGGTTTGAAGAACTTCAGTTACAGCTCTCCACTTCCCTCCAGGAAAACAGGTAGAATTTGCTTTTTGTGGTCTGGTGGAAAGAAGCTACAATGGTAATTCTCATTCATTCATTCATCCTTATGATAATATCATTCATTCAATGATAATAAAAATTTCCAAGAATCTGTTCAACATTCCCTTTGCATAAAAGCGAACTAATAATTTCTTCTTTCACTACTGCCAGTAATTTACACATTCCCATAGAGATATTTACCTATGACTTCCAAGGCTGTTGTGACATTTGCTGATCCAAAAGTATTATTGGCATAACATATGAACACTCCAGAATCATTCACTCTTGCCGAGCTGATAGTCAACCTTTCCTGACGCACAAAATTGAAGTCACCCTGATGCCAGCTATTACTCTTTACCTGTGCTTTGGTTTGCTGGTTTCAGAAGGAGAGAAAAAGAAATCAGAGATTACCATAAAATTTATATTCAGATCTTTCCTAGGCAAATTAAAAATAGCGGCAATTAACTTCTCCATATTAGTGTTCATTATACACTACTTAAGTAAGAGTAATAAAGCATCCTGACGAGTCTGTCATTGGAACACTTCCTACTACAGGATTAGATTGAAAGATAGTCATTAATGATTGGGAAAACATGAAAATTCATTTCCTAATAATCATAGCACACATAATTCCAAATTCTTTGTAGTGTTACTTTATTAAGAGTGCCAAATTTTAAAAGTCACTATATAAAAATACCGCAGAACGCTGGTATTTTACAATGAGTCAGCATACTTATATCAATATTTCCCGTTACATATTTTTTCTATTCTAACTCCCAGTAATAGAAAGAAACACATTGTGAATAATAATCATGTTCTATTTTACTAACATGTATACTATTTTTATGAGTAAAAAGGGAATCGCAATGTCTACAACTAACATGAAAATTCAACCTACAGTTTTTACTAAGCAGAATTTTGGCAACTCTTAAAGGGAGTTCTAAAATATATAACACACACCAAACCAAGCCCCAGCTCATTTACCCATGTGCCGAAGAGCAAAGGTCGTGAATTCACCCCTGCGATATCACCCTCCCACTCTAATTGTTTCAAGACATGGAGAGATTACTTGGATGGAAAATATCATGGGAAAAAAAGAACCAATATAAACTGCGGCTATTCTCTGAGAAGATTAAAAGAAGTAGCCTATGGCTTTTTGCCATTTCCAAATTTTCTGAAATGTGACACATTCCTATTACAATGGGAAAAAAACCAACAAAAAAGAAATTAAACGGGAGCTGATACTGACATGGAACGAGACCGAGGGTGATTGGTTGGCTGGCCTGGTGAACCCGTGAGCCTTCATCTGCTCTGACAGTGCTGTGAATCAGCACAGCCCTCTGCACAGCACCCTGGCGGCCAGGCCAGGGCCCTGGTCACTCCAGCAAATTCACTTCAAGGAGATAACTCAACAAAAAACTGAGGCTCTAAGAGCTTTACTACAGACTCAGGGATGAACTAAATGTGTACCAGGTATCAAATTTATGAATATGTGAAAACAAGAAAATATATATGTTACTTAAAAAACATAAATTGAGTGTAACTTAAAACGCAAACATGTGACAACACGTGCACATGAGGACAAAAAGAAAACACCAAAAAATGTATGTGGGCAATACAGCACTTATAAGGGCTGGCCACATGGGACTGCTGAGTACTCAGTGTGAAATAGTAGGAATTGAGTTGTTTCTAAAATATAATATAATATATGTCCTAAAGATTGAAGACTTAAGATGAAAAAACAATGCAAAAATGTCCCATTAATAATTTTACGTTAATTACACAATAAAATAATATTTTCAGTATATTGGGTGAAATCAAATATATTATTAAAGTCTTATTCTACTTTTTTTACTCTTTGTCATATGCTTCCTAGAAAATTTAAAATTATACAGGAGGCTCACATTATATTTCCACTGCACTACTACATACAATGGTGGGGTTATATCTATTTCTCTTTCTGTTATTATAGTTTTCGAAGAATTTTTACATTGAAATGAGCACAAATCAAAGCCGACTACCAGAGTTGAATGTTTTGAAATGAAAGGATGAGTCTCTTTGTTGACTGACTGTGCGCCTGGGCAGGCCAGGACACTGCTAGCCTTTGTTTCTAGAAGACAATGAGGGAACAAAGGTCCCAAAAGAGCTCTGCAGTTAGGAGCACCATGTAGGTTTAAAAATACTCCTTCTAAGACAGCCTTCTAATAATTAGTTGGCAGACACCTGCCACTTTACTGCGTAAGATCCACTGGTAAGAAGATGCAATAGGAAGGTGAAGTGACACTTTCTCTAGCTCTTCCCAGTCCATCATGTCACAGGCTTCTCCTCTGAGAAGGAGGGGGGACAGGGGACAGATAACATACCCCATTGCAGATTTCAGGAGTCTGCCTTGTAGTTCTTGTAAGAGCACGAGAGCATTCAATAGGGAGCTAAACAGGGACACTGAACACGTCAGTGCCAGAAGGAATAGCATGGTCACAGTGAGGCAGTATCAACACCTGGACCCAGAGACCCCACGTTAGGGCACTGTCAGAGATCATCATCAAAAGCAAGTAAAAATACGAGGGTTTATAAGCATCAGAAAAGCTAACCAAGGTTCACAAGTGTTGAGTAAACTCCAGAGTCTCTCACATTTTTAAAACAAAACAATTGCAAAACTCCAAAACAGTTCTCCCTAAATTTCATTGTGAATTAAACTTACTTTAAATGGTTAAAATCAAAGAGCATGGGTTTTTAAGATAATTTGATAGCTTTAACAGTGCTAAGTATTCCAAATGAAGCCAAAGGATATCAATGTAAGATTCATAGATGAACCTTGGCACGGAGCCACGAGCCCCATCTGCAATTCACACATTACATCTTGCTCGCACGTGATGTGGTTTTCCTTAACCCTTGGAGGTGTGCACTGGGATTTCCCCAAAGGGCTCCCAGCACTGAAGGCTTATCTACCAGTGTCACTGGATTAATTGGGAATGGCATGCAGGGCTCCTGGGAAACACGGTTCAGAACAAAACTGCCTGGGGCAATTTAATTTCTCATCTCAAAAAGGCTAATTTTCCAGTTACACTGAAGCTCAAATACACACACGGTCTAAACTGTTCTCTTATCTGAAATTAAAAATTATAGAAAGCCAATTAATATAGGATTGTGTTCCGTGAGGTTAGTCAAAAATCCATGCATGAGCTATTATTGTTTTTTATTAAATTATATGATATGGAAACTAAAACTTATTCCCTGAGCCATTGGTTTGAAAGAATCAGTCTGCAGGACAATCCATTCTTCTAGTCAATGGCAGCCTTCATTTAGCAAGGTATCATCCATCACAGGTCTACATGAATACCATGATAATGCTTTGCATTATGCTAATCACCATGGTTACTTGTTTGGCAAAGAATTCTTTTAAAAGGCATGAAATTGCCATTGTTGAATATAGGGCATGAGGAGGAAGAAAAGAAAGAAGAGGAGGAGGAGAAAAATATAGTATTTCCTTTTTTCCAGTGTAATCCACACATGTGTACTGAGAAAAAATGACCATGACAGTGCATTAACTAGAGGGCCAAGATCATTAAAAAAATAATAACTGAAAACTCAGTTAATGAAAATTGTAAATGAAGTATTAGAGAAATTAGACATTTTAAAGGCCTTGCTATTAATGTGAATATTTCGAGAGGAAAAAACTTCAAATATAACTTGCTAAAGATTTATTTAATTTCAAGGTACGCCTAACACAGTAATCTGACATATAGCAGACATGCGATACGCATTTGTCAAATAAATGAGAACTTAAACACGTTCAAATGTTTCAGATTAACGATAACCATTTTATTAATAGCAACTAAAACAAATAGAAAACCATTAGCAACTTGATCTCAGGTAGCCAGCCTCCAAGGAGGAAATCAGATCCACACAAAAAGAAACCCATCTCTCAAATGGCGAAACCTTTCTGCGGAAAGGGAAGACCTTTCTGGTTAATATCTGAAAACAAATCTTCATTTTATTAATGCAAAGAAAAAAATGGCAACTCTTCCCAATATTTTAAATAATCTGGCCTGAACAGTAATAGCTTTAAAAACTGAGGTATTTATGCAGTTAACCATTAAGTGGTGTTTTTTTAAATTTCCTTTCTAAAGTCATTCAAGGAAATAGCACGAAGTAAGAGCTTAATTCTGAAGTTCTCATTTAGATTTCCTAAATCCTTTTAGGAAATCTTTGAGATTTCCTGAAACAAACTTACCAAATGGCATTTGTGTTACCAGGAATGAGCACACAGATCTGCATACGGTGCTGTGAAAGGGGGAAATACGCATCTCAGCACACCCCCAGGCGGCCCCCTCAGAGACGCACCAGCGGAGCCGTCCCCCAGGACAAGTAATAGGCTTTTTTAAAAAGAAATGTGATGATCTCCCACAGAGACAGAATGATAACATTGAGGAAAATGAAGAAAACGATTCACGCACCTGGTTGTTCTCCTTTATCCACAGTGAGTCCACAGAACTAGACACATCTTTTATCGAGCATGTCACTGTAAACTCTTCCCCTTCCCTAAGAAGGTAGCTTGCTTTGGACACGGACACAACGGGGACAGCTCTGATGGCTAGAATAAAAAGAAACGCAGCCCTCAAATAATGCCTCCTATCAAAAAGCTGACCTTTTCCCCTCAGATGCACACAGCTTATTTTGGCATATTTTAAGTAAAATACAAAGCACCATCCTGAAGGATCTGTATTACTCGCACCCCTGAAGACACCAGCACTTAAATCATGCATCCTTCAAGTAAATTCATTACTATTGAGTGAAAAGGTAGGAATGTCTACTCTGAGATTCCAGTGCTGGACAATGTGATTTTGAAGCAGGCAGAAGCCCCAGCCACCAGAGGGGAGCAGCTTTCCCCTTCCTCTCACTCAGCCTTGGTAGTTCATGAGGACATGACCTACAACTCATTACAGTCTTTCCCCCAAACAGGTACCATGCGTTGTAAAAATATCTTACTCGTTTCTGAAAGTCCCAGGTCTTAAATAATCAAATTTGCCTTACTTCTAGGGAGTGTATATTTTCAAAAACCTTGATAAAAAACCATTCCATAGCTGAGTACCAACTGGTGTTGAATGAGATGATCTCTGAGACACAAAATCTGTATGTCCTCTTGCTACCAAAATCATCTTAATGCCACAATGATAAGGTCCATAGGCAGTTGGCACTTTCCTCCTCGGATTTTGTGAGTTGTTTGAGGATGCATTAAGATTAAATAGCTGAAGCGAAAGTCGACTCATATATCAATAGTAAATCAAGGAGTGAATAATCTGTACACTAATGTTTCCAAACAATGTAACTAAACTTCCCCAGTGGACTTCTCTTGGAAGGAATACTTTCATGCAATTATGAAACTCTGACCGTCCCAGTACGGCCTTACTGCCAATCTACGGTACACACACCCAGCTGAAGGCAGCCGTGGACTGGTCCCATGGGGCTGGGACCAGGCAGTAAAGAATTCACAAGCAGCTGACATTATTCTGAAGTTAGGGGAACTGAAGAGCCAGCTGTCTGATGGACTAAGATGGACCACTCTGAAGAGAGAAGTCTTCTTCAGGTCATCGGATGCTCTGACTCCCAGAAGAAGGTACTACAGGGCCCATACCTGCCCTCACTTTCAGGGTGAACTTCTTTGACAGCACCGACTTGCCCTTCTTGTCCGCGGAGCAGTGCAAGCAGAGCCGATGGTACTCGCGCTTCACGTTTCTGATGGTGATGCCGGCCTTGGGATCCGCGACGAATGTCAAGTCCTTGGGGAGAGGCTTCCCCTCGCACCCCTTAAGGGAGTAATTGGTCACTTCTGGGTCAGTCAGAGGACAGCGGACCAGCGTGTCATTGCCTTCTTTCCCATACAAGGGAAGGTCCACAAGGAAAAGCTTTGCAGGATCTATAGCACATCAAAAGTTAGTGGTTTAAATGGTTGCTCACAGACACTGAAGACACTTTTAAAAGACCAAAAATGTTACCTCTCACAACAATTCCCAGTAATTCAAACAGCTGCTGACTTTTGCCTTTGCAGGCAAAAGTAGAATTTATCCATGTTAACAAATGCCAGGCCCTACGCTTGGACCACTGCACACTTTATATGTCTAATTCTCAAAACACCCCTAGGGGGTGGGCCCTATCATCCCCACTTTACAGATGAGGAAACTGAAAGCCCACAAAGGTGACTCCACGTGGCCCAGACGTGGTTGGGCAGAAGTCAAACCCAGCCTGACCGATTCCAAAATGTGTACCCTCAAAACTGAGAATACTGCATGGTAACCATCACTCTTTTTCTGCAACAGGTAATACTTCTGGGAGCATGGGCCAAGAACAGGCTGTCTGATGGTACCTATTAGGGTCAGGGAAAGGTGTCCTCCCTCTGACCCCGCTGGGTGGGCCCTTCCCAGAGTGCCTGGTCTCCGGGACCTTTCGGCTTCTGAACTGAATCCAGGAAACAGTCAGCAGACCACCCAGCGCAAATGACACGGGAGCCTCACACTCTATTCCAATTTCTTGAAAGTGAAGTTAAATATAACTTTTGGAACTCAAGTAATTTCAAATGCACAAGGGGAGTTTATGAGTTTCGGGAATACTTTATCATCTAAACTAAAACCCGGGTGAGTAAAAGAGGGTACAAGCGGGGGAGACTCAGGCAGCCCAGGACCCCACACGCACGAAGGCAACCTCGCTTGGCACGCATGCGCTGCCGCCCTTTCATGCCTACAGAGAACACGGACACGTGGTCGGGCCAACGGATTCCATCTGGGATTCGTTTTTTTGTTACCCTCTTCATCTGAAAACTAGGTGCTCCATAGAAATCAGTCTAATATAATTAAAATATAACTTTGGCCAATTTTGAAAGCGTTTTCCAAAATGTACCTCCCTGCCTTCCATTTATTTTGTGAATAAATTACTTCCTGCTGGGTGAACAACAGTGCGAGGCTGGAGTTGGCTATTTTCCCATCTACTCTTTTTCAGTTGCTGGAATCTAAACGCTCCAACGACTCCCCAATTTCCCACATGGCTGGAACATAGATTACATAAGTATCCAAACATCTTAAATCAGTTATAATCAAGTATATTCGAAGTTATTGAGGATGACTTTCCCTACAAAGAAAATGTGTGAGTCCTGACACTGACGTGCCTAATCCAGTAACTTTCCCCATTTAGTCAGTTGCCTACCCATCCTACTAATAAGCGAAATGATACTTATTACCACCTAGAAAATAGAGAGTACCTCTGTCAAAGAACCGTGCACAGGCAACGATTCAACAATTATGGAGCCACATCCAGAGGCTAAGCTGGGCCTCTTGAAGCATATTTCTTTTCAGCTCCCCAACCAGGAAAGGACAACATATCAACTAAGGAGGGGCAGAGTCAATTTCATGGTAACCGTTACAGCAAACATGCGAGTCAACCTCATTAACCTTGAGAAAGCTCTGACGTGCACGACTGTTTCCCTAATAACAATTAGGTGAAGCAGACAGACCAGATGACCTTATCAAATGATGCAGTGAGGAACTGAGACTCGTGAGGTTGCTCAGGTCTACAGTTTGGGATGAATGTATTCCTTATTCTTCCACGGTACCATGGACAAGGCCTTCTACCCAGGCCTGTGACAGTGGTAGCCCCGTCCAGGTAGGAGCCCAGGCCGAGAGGTGGGCCGTACTTCTCTTTATAACCTGGCTGTGTCTCCTACGCTTCGTGTGCTTCAGTTTTCACACCAACAAAAACGTCCTCCTCTCCTCCCGCCCCCAGCAAACCTCCTCCTGACAAATATATCAGAAGCACAAACAGGGGAATCACTGAATTAATCACAGGAAATGAGTTACAGAAATCCAACTGTCATATTTTTCTTTTGTTTCTAAGAGGTCACTATTTTTTAAATGAATCAACTGACATCTATTAAGAACTTAGGAAGGGCATGGGGTGCGTTGCTGACTGAGTTATTTTTCTGATTTTTATCCCCTAAAAGTGGGTCAGTTCTTTTGAAGTGTTGGTCTGTTTAGGCCTTTAGAGACCTTTAGTTCCCTGAAGCGTTTTTTACTAAGTAGAAGTCTCTGAGATCTCAAGGCATTAAAATGCAACCTTCCCAAAGGGCCTAATTTATTCTCCGAGTTTACCCAGAGCACGGGGACAAATGGTCTCACCATATTGTCATCTCATTAGGAAGAGTGTCACAGGCTTGCAGACCTTCAGCTGGAATCATACCCAAAGCTATGTATCAAAAGATGGAGAAACTGACAAAGAAAAACTTGCTTTAGGCTTTCTAGACCCAGCCAGCCATCTTATACCTATGGCTTAGCCATCTATATGTCATCCATAATTAAGAACAAGATATGAACCTCTCTGAAGCACAGCATCAAAGAGAGCTGAACATTTACCTCTAACGAACACGTAAATGGAGCTGCCCAAGCCGTCCTCGTTGGTGCACGTGTAATTGCCCGTGTTGGTGGCCTCTGCTTTCTCCGTGATCCACTCATTGTGCACTTTCTCGCTCTGCTGACCCAGGGTCTCAAAAGTCCATTTGACAAACCCTGGATCAGTGCATACCAGCCTAATCTCGTCGCCAGCATTGACTATTAACTCTGATTCTGCTGGATGGATGGATGGTGGAGACAGTCCCCCTGGACTCACAGATGGTTGAGAAGAGCCTGCCAAGAAAAAGGAGAATCGTGTTGAATGTGATCTTTTTCCTTGGCGAAATAAAGCATCTCTTCAAACACTGATTTCCATCTTCCGTGTACTCTACAATAAAAATAGGACAAAGCTGCCCTGCTATTTATAGTCCATAAAGAGTTCTGTTTAAAGTGTCTTATGTTCATCTAGAACACTGTTTTCTGTAACCCTCAATTAATCCTGAGGGTCACACTTGGTGTGCAAACCAAGATTTGCTGGATGCCCTGGGCTCTTCTGGGTCAAATCTAGAGCTGGGTCAAGTTTCCTTTCTGAATATGGGCCATTGCAATGATACCCACAGGCTGACACCCAGCCTAAAAACGGCGAAACAAAATAGCGCACTATTCAACAACAACAACTCTTGGCCTGTCACCATTTCGCATTTCGGCAAAATGCACACGACCATGACATAGCTTGGCTTTTTCTTAAAGCTTTGTAAATTCGGGTATTTCTATGTTGTTCTCCTTATACAGTCATCAAAATGACAACTATTATTGAGTTTCAAACAATAAGGCAGTCAATGAAAATCCCATTTTAAAGATCAGATCGTGAGATATTATTTTATGGCAAATGTTGGGTTACGGTCCGATCAACCTAATGCTGAGACAGGTTTCCTAGGTAGGAAACTGGTTTAAAGATGGAATCTTCACACTCTGGATACAAAGCTTGAACCCTAGAAAATTCACAGCAGCCAATTCCCTCATTCATCTGCTGCATGAATGCAAACATCTGTTCATTAATTACAATCTTATGATCTGCAGAGGCATCATCCACGGTGCTGGAGAAAATCCATGTAAGTGCGGCATGTGGTCCTTACACATGGGCCTGCCTCCAGAGCTTCGGTACACTGCGCAGGTGTTGAAATACATGAAACATAGCTACATGGTTCGGGTGTAAGCTGAAGACAAAGTCAGAGATGGGCTGCACCTTGACAATTATCAGGAAGAGGCAGAAGAGAACACAGCCTGAGAAAAGGGCTGATTTTTTTAGTGCTAAAATGAAACCAGCCTGATGGAAATGGGGTTCCTTCATGGAGACCACGTGAGGTAAGACTATAAGCAGGCTAAGCAAGATGGAACCAGGTCATCCAGAGCCCTGAGCATCTGGTATAAACACGTGCATTGTACCCTAGAGACCAGGTAGAGTCACCGCAGGTTTCTCTATAGACAGAGGGCATGCACAGTAAGATGCCAGAGATCAGCTAGATTTGGGAAGCTCTGGTCCTCAGGGAGGCCAAAGCAGTAAGAACCTACATTAAGGATTTGAGACTAAAGAGGAAGATGAAATATACTGTCAGAGGAAGAACACATTAATGGTGATAGGTTATAGTGCAATTAAAAATACAAAAGGTTGAGTCATGAGTGACCTGGATGAGGGAGAGAGAAGAAAAGGCCCCGGGGTGACCTGGGCTGGGGCAAAAGGAAAACAGAATTCCCCAGGAGGTTCTCAATCTCTTCTGCAGATTTGTGGAGGAAACAGCCGGTGTGCAGAGAATCTGAGTCCCCTCCACGCACACACAAGGCGGGAGACAAGAACTGACCTGAATTCTGAAGGAGTAAAAGCCATCCAAGCCAGGTGGAGAAGGGAGTCGGCGGGAGGCAAAGGCAGCAAGAGAAAGTCCTACCAGAAAATAGTCCGAAAGGAACTGGAACAGAGACCTGCTCCCAGGTGCTACCTGGGCAGTAGATGGACTTCTAACCCTACAGCCTGAAATTCAGATGGTGGAAGCAGTAGAAAGACTGGGATCAGATGACCAAGGGAAAGGGTTTTTGGAAAAAAGAGAAACACACCAGGTACCAATCTTAGAGAGTTCTTCCAGCTAAGAGGGTGTAGGAAAGAGTCAAGGGAGACTTAAAAAAATGGAAAAGAAAAAAAGAAAGAAAACCACCAGAAAGAGGCAAGGCTAAAGGTACAAGGAAGGCAACAGATGAGAGGTTTCAAAGAGAAGCAGGGGGTGGGTCTGAAGGCAGATGCTGAACAAGATCAAAGGGAATGAACAGAACAAGAGCCTCCAAAATTTGGTTAGACAGAGGAGGAAGTCCGAGAGGACAGTTTCAGTTGAGCAGGAATTCCTGTTTGCTCCAAGGTGTGAGGCTGCAAGCGAAGGCCTCTCTGTGGAGAACTACACCAAGAGACAACAGAGAGACAGATTTGTAGTCAAAGAAATTTAAAACAAAAAGAAAATCAGTTTTGACATTTGCAGGTAAAAGGAAGAGCCATGGAGAGGGACAGACAGAATATGCTCTGAAGGGTTGAAATTATCCCTGGCAGGTGTCTAGACGACTGGCCTCAATTTCGGTTTTATCTGGACACATATTTCATCTGGGTGTTTTTCAACCAGGGCATCAACTGTACCTCCGTGATGGCAAGCAAAGTGCAGCCCGGATCGGAAGACACTCAGCAGCCCTGATTTGTAGAAGATAATGAGGTGAATTATAACCATCAAATGTTATTAAGCACCAACAGCATGAGAAGTGCTATAGGTGAGACTACCTGTGCCCAGTAAGTAGCCTTACCATCTAAATGGAACAGCCAGAATATGGAAATGAAGTGGTTGGGATTATTTTCAAAGTCATACAGAGTATTAAACAATAAAAACGGGCACAGCAATAAATAGAGGCACTATCATTTCAATTATAATGGGAGTAGTTCCAAGCGACTGTGAGTAACGTTGACAGGAAATTCAATCCAAAAACTCTTAAAGAATTCATATCACAGATATTTCAATCAATTCAGTCTTCTCATGACTGCATTGTAAGGACATGTGTAGATACTGCAATCCAGGTGAATAACTACTGCTCATTTCTGGGAACCTACCATGCCAGGCCTAGCTGTGTGATTTAAGGCAGGCCATTTGACCTCTCTGGGTCCAAGTTTCCACAAGTGAAAAATGATGATAAACAGAGCTTCATCTCATGAGAGTTCTTATGGGAATCAAATGCAGTAGATATATGCAAGGAGCTTAACACAGGACTGAGCAATTTTTAATAAATCCTAGCTATTACAGAGAAGTAATAAAGCATACGAAGTAAGAGCTTGGCTCTTGAATTAGACTTGCATTCTGGCTCTGACACTTACTAAGGATATAATCCTTAGGCAAGTTACTAATCAGTTCTGCTAGTTTCCTCATCTATAAAAGTATGGACAGTAATAGCAGGCTGTTATGTAAAGCACTCAGAACCGTGCTTGGGCACACAGAAAATACATCATTAATATTAGACACAATTATTCTAAAACAGAACCACTGAACACCCCTCCAATCAGTCCTGACTTATGGACATGAATGGTTCTGCCAATTCCCAAATGGGTTCCTGCCCAACTTCTCCCTTCCTTGGCAGCAACTCCTAGCAATCTTTCCTTCAAAAGGTGTGTGGTAGAGACCACACATCCTGTCTATTCTTCTGCCCCACCCCAGACCAGCCACCGTTCGCTGACCACTTCAGACAAGTAGCATCCTCTTCTAAGAGGTCTCCATGCCTCCAGCCTCTGCTTATGCCACCCCCAGCACATCCTACATCATAACCCTGAGATCCATCAGCTGAAAATACCACCTTTTCAACAACCCCAGTCCCAGTCTCAAAAGCCCTAATGGAGACAGCAACTACCACTGACATCAGGTACAGCTTACAAAGCACTTTTATGGGATTCAGTTCTAGCTGATCCAACCTCTCTAGTAAGACAGACCCTTAGGGCTGGCTGGCTAAGGATCCTGTGCAAGCATTCATGTTCCTTCACATGTTCATTTTTCCGCCTGTGCCCAGGACACACCTACTCTACTGAGTCACCTCCCTGTTGAGTAGAAGGCCCAGTCTTCATGGATGTTGTTCGCTCACTGCTCCAGGTCACTAAATCCCACCAACATGCCCAGCTACGTCAACTACATGGCTTGCACTGACGCTCAACAGTCGTCTTCATCTAGAGCTTACCTGCCCTACCTGCTCCAAGGTCCTGGGGACCTCAGAGCAAGAATTCTAAATTGTACTTTGCCCCCAGCACGGTCATAAAAACACTCACTTCAATCCCTGAACATATAAAAGACCAAAAGAATGACAGGTTCCCAAACACCCAGCCCTGGTAACAGATGTCAACAGTCCAGGGACCTAGCCCCAAAAGAGGACAGATGTCAATTCTGCTCTCTCACTAAGAAAAGGGAGTGGCTGAATCCATCCGTTAAAACGGCCACGGATACTTACAAAAAAGGAGCCTCGAAACTTGAGATCACTAGCTTAGGCTTCACTCCTAGGGTTTTAAAAAATAAATTTTTAAAATCATTACCACCAGAAGCATTCAGGGTTTTATTTTCCAAATAAATTATTTATCAGCTCAAGTTTCAAACTCACACTATTGAAATGAGAATAGAGTTTATATTAGAGAGGGACTGTGGGTATTATTTATTCTCTTTTTTTCCAAACTATCTTGAATGCTATTATAATGTTCTCACAGTAAAAAAAAAAAGACTGTAGAGATTATGTTAAAAGGTGTGTGTGTTTACACATATACCTACCTTTCTACCTTTATTATGTTTAAAATTCAATACTGATAAGGTATTCCAACTGAGTTTGGAAATTGCTCTAAAATTACAGGTTTTGAAATGCATCTGGTACATAGCAAATTCTCAACAGATGTTTGTTAAATTGGGTTTTATCTACATCAGGTCTCTTTGCATTAGAAAATGTACTTCCCTAATTATATTTGGCTAAGGCTAATATTAAAAGATGTTTTCTGTTCCCTGAACAGATATTAATTAATGAGCCAAAAAAAGGTAAAAAAAAAAAAACATAAAACCACACCATTCTGGGACCAACTACTACAGTCAATGATGACTCTGAGCAAGGAACTACAGAAACTATTCCGCAAGCAGTTATCTAGAAACCTGGCTAAGTGTTGAACCCAGAAGACAGTCCTTGAACTCAAAAGAGCAAAACACAAGGCAGGAAAGGGGCATTTGTGGGCAGTCAACAATGCAAGATTTTAA